GTTTTTTTTTTTTTAAGATTTATTTATTTATTATGTAGACAGGAGAGGGTGACAGATCTCATTACAGATGGTTGTGAGCCACCATGTGGGTGCTGGGAATTGAACTCAGGACCTCTGGAAGAGTAGTCAGTGCTCTTAACCTCTGAGCCATCTCTCCAGCCCTGAGGTGGGGTTTCATATGATAATGACATCACACTGGGACAGCGGTCGCTGGAAAAGTGACACATCACTGAACAAGGACTCTGATGGACAAGCCAGGACCCCGTCCCTCTTCTTCCAGAGCTCAGCTCCCTAGTTCTCAGGGAGCTGCTTGGTTGTCTGGGTTGTCCTATCTTCTTTTCTAAAAGTCCCTGGAAGGGACAGGGAAGAGCTTAGAAAAGTCCATGTGCCATCTCCATGGAATCTGTGCAGTGAGAACTGGACTCTTAGCAGCTCCCTTCCACCCAGGCTGGGGTTGCCTGGGTAACTAAGGTCCTCCCAGCTTCCTGCTTGATGTTGTATACAGAATGACTCCCTTGCCATCTGCTTGCCTCTACCCTAGTGTTCTACATGAACTAACTCAAGACTCCTATACAGGTCTTAGGTGACTGATTGTCTCTGTTTGACAGAAGGGGAAACTGAGGTACAGAGCAGTCACCTGATCTACCCTAAGTCACACTGCTGGTAAGAGGCAGACTCAGGAGCTGAACCCAGGAAGTTTGGACGAGAACGTTCACTCGCCAATCTGTTTCTGCCCCTACATGTCCAATGTAAGACTCAGCTTCCTGACAGGCAGTGTAGCCTCGTGTTTGAGGGTGTAGCTGCAAGCCTGAACCCCGGCTTTCCCTGCTCTCAGCTTGACTGCTTCACACCTGTGCCTCACCTGAGAAACTGGAAAGCCAACGTTCCCCATCAGTGACAGACCATGTATGTTTTTCAACAATCTTCTTGTAATCCCAAACACCACTGAACTACATTTCCCAGATAGCCTGCAGGTGTGGCCATGTTCTATGACTTGGCCAATAGAATACAAAGAGGAAATAGTGCCACCAATTCTAGGCTTGCCTCCTAAAATATCCTTCCCCTATGCCTCAGTCTCTGGACCCTGGGCAAATCCCTCCCCTGAATGATTCCCTCCTGCAGCCTGTGGGCTGAAAACAGATGAGCTGTAATGTACGTGCTTGTTAGCATTCTTCACTCTAACAAAACACCTGATGAAAGAGCCTGAGAGAAGAAGGTCCAGGGTCAGCTAGAGACATTTCTTTTAGGCCTGTGGGAAGATAGCGTTGATTCCAGCAGGCAAGAATAAGACCACTATCACAATTTTTGAGCCAAATTCGAAGCAAGCTTTATTTTATTTGGTTGCACCCAAGATCTAGCCAGAGACTGCCTCCTAAATTGGGTTAAAGACATAGTTCTGGGCCAGGCATGATGGCACATCTGTTTAATCCCAGCAGAGGCAGGCAGATCTCTGTGAGTTCGAGGCCAGCCTGGTCTACAGAGCAAGTTCCAGGAGAGCCAGGGCTCCACAGAGAAACCCTGTCTCGAAAAACAAACACAAAAGGCATAGTTCCGGCCAGTGTCCTGGAGGTGATGCTGACAGGTCCTCTTCAGGCTCACGGTGCGGGTCCCATCACTGCCTTTGTAGATGGTGCTGTCCCAGCTGGAGGCCAAGGTGGGGCTGCCTGAGCAGGCTCCCGAAGCAAGGAATTTGAGGACATCCTTTTCAAGAACTTCATCTCCAGGACATAAGGACTCCAGACACTGTGTGCGAATTTCCCTGTAAGTCACACACAAACTGCCTTAAAAACTTCAGTCTCAGCCCAGCGGTAGTAGCACACGCCTTTAATCCCAGCACTTGGGAGGCAAAGACAGGGGGAATCTCTGTGAGTTCGAGGTCAGCCTGGGCTACAGAGCAAGTTCCAGGACAGCTAGGGCTGTTACACAGAGAAACTCTGTCTCAAACAAACAAAACAAAACAAAAAACTACTGTCTCTAGCTGGAGAGGTGGCTCAGTAGTTAAGAGCTCTGGCTGCTCTTCCAGAGGTCCTGGGTTCAATTCCCAGCAACCACATGGTAGCTCTCAACTGTCTGTAACTACAGCTCCAGGGGATCCAACACCCTCACACAGACATACATGCAGGTACAACACTAAAAAGTTAGTGTTGTAAATAATAGTTAATAAATAAAAATTAAAAAATTAAAGTGTCTTAGTTAGGATTTCATTGCTGTGAAGAGACACCAAGATAAGAGCACCTTTTTTGTTTTGTGTTGTGTTTTGTTATTTGAGACAGGGTTCCTCTATGTAGCTTTGGAGCCTGTCTTGGAACTCGCTCTGTAGACCAGGCTGGCCTTGAACTCACAGAGATCTGCTTGTCTCTGGCTCCCAAGTGCTGGGATTAAAGGCGTGCGCCACCACTGCCCGGCCACAGCAACTCTTATAAAGGAACACATTTAATTGGGGCTGGCTTACAGTTTCAGTCCATCATCATCATGAAAGGTCATGGCAGCGTGCAGGCAGACATGGTGCTGGAGAGGTAGCTGGGAGCTCTACATGTGAGATCTGCAGGCAGCAGAAGGATTCCGTGACAGTGGGCACAGCTTGAGCATGTGAGACTGCAGAGCCCACCCCCTCAGTGACACACTTCCTCCAACAAGGCCACACCCACCCCAACAAGGCCACACCTCCTAGTAGTGCCCGTGGCAGCCATTTTCTTTTAAACAACCACATAAAATCTATTTAAAAACAGACAAACTACTGTCTCACTGGGTGTGGTGGCACACGCCTTAATCCGGGACTCAGGAGGCAGAGGCAAGTGGATCTCTGTGAGTCCGAGGCTAGCTTTTCCTATGTTATGAGTTCCGGCACAGCCAGGGCCACAGAGTAAGACCTGTTTCAGAAAAAAACAAAAACAAAACTCCCATCTCTTCCATCACCCATCTTGGGCCCAGCTTTTAACTGCCCATTCTCTTGCCAAACTGTACATTAATATATATATATATATATATATATATATATATATATATATATATTCATTTTTATGTGTGTTGGTATTTTGCCTGTGTGTATGTCTATGTGAGGGTGTCAGGTCCCCTGGAACTGGAGTTACAGACAGTTGTGAGCTGCCATGTGGGTGCTGGGAATTGAACCTAGGTCCTCTGGAAGAGCAGCCAGCTCTTAACCGCTGAGCCATCTCTCTAGCTGCCCCCTCCCCACACACACACTTATTTTGGTTCTTCCAGACAGGGTTTCTCTGTGTAGCTGTCCTGGAACTCATTCTATAGACCAGGCTAGTCTCGAACTCACAGAGATCTGCCTGCCTCTGCCTCCCAAGTGCTGGGATTAAAGGTGTGCGCCACCACCGCCCAGCTAGCCTGGTTTTCAGGAGAGTCTTCCTTCCCCTCTGAAGCTGCTAAGTCCCATGTGTGGGCACATCACTGTACACATTCCTCTCAGCATTCTTATCTTCCAGACTGCTACCAGGATGGTCCAGGAAGCCCTGCTTGCGGCATGCTCAGGCTCCAGAGTCTTATATATTTTATCTGCAAATCGGCTCCAAGGACCTTCCAACTACTCGGTCAGATTTACACGGCAACAGCCCCACTTCCCAGTCCCGCTTTTTCTCACGGCTGCAGCAAAAACACCTGCCAAAAGCAACCTGGAGAAGGCCAACTCCGTTCTGGCTCGTGGTTTAAGGACACTCACTGTCCATCATGGTAGGGAGACACGGTGGCAGGAGCGTGAGGTGCTGCTCACACTGGACCCACGGTCAGGAAGGAGAGGGATGAGTGCTGGTGCTTAGTCCCTTCTCTTTGTGTGTGGTCTGAGACGGCAGCCCCGGGGGGGGGGGCGGGGGGGGCGGGGAATACAGCCCACAGCTAGGGTGGGTCGTCCCACCTTGGTTGACCTCATCTACATGATCTCTCACAGACATAACCAGAGGCTTGCCTTTTTGGTGATTCTAGAACCTGTCAAGTGGACAAGCAATATTAGTCATCACACCTAGCACCCATGGGTGCTCGAGAAATGTCTGGTTGAGAAGAGGAAAGGCAGCTAAGTTGGTAAAAAGCTTGCCTTGTGGGCTTACAAACCTTAGTTTGATTCCCAGAACCCACACTCAAAATGAATTATGGGGGCGGTGGTGGCGCATGCCTTTAGTCCCAGCACTCAGGAGGCAGAGACAGGGGGATCTCTGAGTAAGAAGAGGCTAGCCTGGTCTACAGAGTGAGTTCCAGGACAGCCAGGGCTACACAGAGAAACCCTGTCTCAAAAAACCAATAAATAGATAGATAGATAGATAGATAGATAGATAGATAGATAAAATCTGACCATGGTGGCAAATTCCAACACTGGGAGATGGAAACAGAGATTCTTGAGTCCTGCTGGCTAGCCTGACCTAGCCTACTTATTGAGTTCCAGGCCAATGGGAAATGATGTCCAAAAAAAAAGGATGTCTGGGACCTGAAGAATTATATCTAAGGTTGTCCTCTGGCCTCCACATATATGCATACAAATGCACATGTACACCTGCACACACATGAACACACACACATACATACAGAAAAAAAGAAAAATCTGTCAGTGGAGCCCTGCACACCTGTGTCTGCCTTCGTTCAGAGTCCCCCTCCCACCCTCTGGGCTCTGTGATCTGGGTTTCTTGTCAGTCTCCTGTTGGGGACACTCAGCCTCTGGGACCGTCTTTCTTCTGTAGCTTCAGTCTGGCCTCCAGTCATAATGCCAAAGGACATGAGACACCTGCCACAGGGGCCCCCTGAATCACTCCACCACCTCCTTCCTCTAGACCTCTCTGCAGAGCCGCAGTGCCGCACAGCCCTCCACCCCTGCCCAGCCGTACCGTCCGAATAACCTACGAGCTCCCCGGCAGGGTGAAAGCTGTGTGACTCTGAGTACACACAGAACCTCTCTGTGCCTGTGCCCTGCACACACAATGGGTGCTGGGCCCACCTTGCTCTTGAGTCCCCAGTGCCTAGGAGCCACTTTTAGGTGCCTGGCGCAGGGGCAGAGGAAGCCGGTCCCCCACAGAACCCTGAGTTCTGCTCTGCATCCGGGATGTGTTCATCTGGGAAACAGCCAGTGCGCAATCGGAGCATAGTCACAGAGGCGAGCTACCGTGAGGGAAATTGCCCTAAATGTGAATCCGCAGCCGAGCTGGGGAAAGTGATTTCGCCGCTCTCAGGCAGATTGCGGGGGCCTTCCCTGCACAATGTTTCAGCCTGTCTGCCTCCAATCACTCCGAAATAATACGTTACATTTGGTGTGACTGTTCTCCGCGGCCCCGCTCCACCCAACGCTGGTAGCCAAAGCCCAACATTGCAAATCCTATCTCTGCTGTTCATTTGCAAAGAATGAAGTAGGCGTTGGACTCCCCCAGCCAGCCACACAGGGACGGCTTTGGTCACCGGCAGGCCTGTCACTGAGTGAGCCCCAATAACAGCTGCAGTTGTGAAATGTGTACCTAGAGGGCTTGGGCTGGCTGGACCACAGAGCTTCATGAAGCAGCCCTGGGTTCCAATCTTAACTGCTCCACTCTCAGGCTGTGTGACTTCAGGTACACTGCTCAGCCTCTCTGAGCTTTACTTCTTTGTCTATAGAGGATGTGGTAAGATTTTTACCAACCAGAGGTTACAAACCTACTCTCCCCAACAAGAAGCCAGTGACTGCCAGGCCTGGTAGTTCACATTTGCAGTCTCGATCTTCAAGAGCCTGAGGCAAGAGAAGGACTCTAGACCACTCTGCCCTACATGAAACCCTGTCTCAAAAACAAGAAAGAGGAGCTAGAGAAATGGCTTAGTGGTTAAGAGCACTGGCTGCTCTTGCATAGGACCTGGGTTTAGTTCCCAGCACCCACATGGCTCATAGCCATCCGTAACTCCAGTTCCAGGGGATCTGATGCCCTCTTCTGGCCTCAATGGGCATTGCATACATGTGATGTACATATAACTACAAATGGCGCCCTACATGGGGCAAGAGTTTCCACCTAATACCAAAGAGAGCTTAAGAAGAGATTATAAATGTAGCTAAGAGCATCTTCCTAGTTCATGTCGCTCATGGCGGGCCTAGGTACAATGATGTGTCCCCTGGCTATGGCAGGTTCACAGCATGCAGGCTGGAGCTACAGCATGGCGGATTCCCACCCAGTTACACAGAGGTTTCTGTAAGCTGTACAATATGGTGCATGGTAGATATAGCTTTTTTTGTTTGGTTGGTTTTGGGTTTTGTTGTTGTTTTTATTTTTTTGTTGTTGTTGTTGTTTTTCAAGACAGGGCTTCTCTGTGTAGCTTTGTGCCTTTCCTGGAACTCAATCTGTCATCCAGGCTGGCCTTGAACTCACAGAGATCCACCTGCCTCTGCCTCCTGAGTGCTGGGATTAAAGGCGTGTGCCACCACCGCCTGGCATATAGCTTTTGATAGTACAGGAAAAAAAGGAAGGGGGATTTCTGGGCTACAGGCTACAGATACACTCTAAGTTCTCATTCTTAGGAGATCCCTAGAATAGTCAGGAAGGGAGTAGACACCTGATTCAGATCTTGCTGCAAAGACTGACGACCTGAGTTCAATCCGGGGACAAACATGGTGGAAGGAGAGAACCAACTCCTGCAAGTACGCACATGCATGCATGCACGGGCGCGCGCACGCACACACACACACACACACACACACACACACACACGCACGCACGCACGCACGCACGCACGCACGCACACGCACACGATACACGCACGCATGCGCGCGCGCACAGAATACATCAAGGTAAAAATGTTTTCGGTGTGCTGCATAGGCAGGGCTAATGTATGTGGGGTGAGTGTCTAAGAGGGCTGAGAGTCTAAAAAGCTTTCCACACATCCAATAAAGCCAAAATTTGCTACAGAGCTGATGCTTATGTTCCTAAAGGCATCATTGTCAAGGGTGTTCACAACCAGCCACGCTTATTTATGGCCAGAAGGTTTAACTGAGTGAGCCCTCATCCCTGAACCCAAACACCACCACTGGCATAACATCGCATGAGTTCATCCACAAAAAGACATTCTTCATAGAAAGACAAGTAATCCCACTCATTTATTTATGACTCAAGTTTTTAAAAGTTTTTTAATTAAGCTGGGCGGTGGTGGCGCACACCTTTAATCCCAGCACTTGGGAGGCAGAGGCAGGTGGATCTCTGTGAGTTTGAGGCCAGCCTGGCCTACAGAGTTCCAGGAAAGGTGCAAAGCTACACAGAGAAACCTTGTCTCGAAAAACCAAAACCAACCCGGCCCCCCCACCCCCGCCAAAATTTTTTTTTTAATTACATGTATGGGCCTGGAGAGATGGCTTAGTGGTTAAGAGTACAGGCTGCTCTTCCCAAGGACTGGGGGTCAATTCCCAGCACCCACATGGTGGCTTACCCATAATTCCAGTTCCAGGGGATCTGATGCCCTCTTCTAGATTCCATAGGCACTGCATACATGGTGTACACATACAGACAGGAACATGGACACACACACATAAAAACAAGTGAATAAAAAATAGTTTTTAAAAAAGCTGAACATAGTGGCACATGCTTTTAATCCCAGCACTCGGGAGGCAGAGGCAGGAGGATCTCTGAGATTCAGGACAGCCAGGGCTACACAGAGAAACCCTGTCTGGAAAAACTAAACAAATAAATTTTGCTTCTGCCTCCCAAGAGCTGGAGTTAAAGGTGTGTGCCACCACTGCCCAGCTATTAAATAAGAATTATTTTGGAAAAGAAATTCTGATGATACCCACAGGGAAAGGCTTGTCCCACCCTTGGTGTCCACATCTCCACCTGGCAATATGCCAAAAGTCAGGGACAACTCCAATATCTAGGGACAGAAGTCACACGGAGACTTCTAGAATAGCATGTCCTGTATTGAGCCGAGATGGGGCAAAGGGTCATTTCCGCTGCAGTTCACTGATACTCCTCTGTGGCCTCTTCTAGCCTAGCCTGGCCACCTACAAGGACAAGGAAGGTGGAAGGCCCCTGGAAGACTGCAGTCTTTACGTCCCCATTTTGGACAAAGGTCACACCCTCTCTGCTGTATTGGCAGGGGCAGTCACAAGCCACCCAGATTCAAGGGAACAGGACCCATGGGAATTTGTGGACATTTTCTGAATGTGCTCAACTCGGGATCCTGGAACTCTTCCCTGCCATTCCGGATCCTCTGCTTTCCCTCACCATAACACCCGGACGCTTTTCTTGCGGGTCTTCCTTTCTTATGTTTTGCCAGCACTGGGAATTGAACCCAGGACCTTATGCATTCTGGTCAAGTGCTCTGCCACAGAGCTATGTCCTCCAGTGGATCTTGTGTCTTTCTGAGGGAGTCTCAGCCACTCGCTAACCATGGACGTCCCCGAATGTCTCCCAAGCCTTCCTTTTCTCCCCAGTAAAGTGTTAGTGTGAATGGTACTCTGGCAGGGCCTCTGTGCACCCACACCATGGCTTCCTTGAAATAACACAGACCTCACCGAAGAGAATAAGAGGTAGTCAAACATAAGCAACGATATGTCAGTGGAGAGGCCAGTAGGTGGGTGACGGCAAAGCAGGCAAGTCCCTGGTGCAGGATTCAGATGCCATCTGATGACATTCTCAGCTTTAAGACTGGTGGCTCTCAGTTAAGACATTCTAAAAGGATCTACACCATAATCTCAGCTGTGTTGGACCACTCATAGGGGTGGCCAATGAATTGCTACTAAAAGTCTATACAGAGCCCCAAAATATCTGGCTTTGGACCTGCAATATTCCAACTCCCCACAATCATGACATTCTAATCAGTCAGTCAGCCTTGTCGGATCTTTAACACAGGTGTGTCTTTTTTCTGGAAACTTCAGTTTATACATGTTTCCCAGTATTGGGCATGGAACCCTGCATCTCACATATGCCAGAAAGTACTTTACCATTGAAATATGACCCCACCCCACACTTTTTTTAAACTTTGAGATGGGGGATGGGGGGTGTCTCACTAAGTCATTTAGGCTGGTCTTAAACTTACTCTGCAGTCCAGTCTGGCTTTGAACTTCTGATCTTGTATCAGCCTCCGAAGTACCTTTTAAGAATGTTCTGTCTTGGCCTCCTGTTCTTTTCAACTCACTCTGTAGACCAGGCTGGCCTGGAACTCACAGAGATCGACCTGCCTCTGCTTCCCAAGTGCTGCTGGGATTAAAGACGAGCACCACCAGCTCAGCTCAGCAGACTTTTTATCTGGCCTGTGAGCAGAAGGTGCCACCCACATTTGGGGGTGGGTCTTCTCACATAAATGAAGGCAATTGTGACAATTGCTTGGATGCACCCAACTCAGGTGACTCTAATTTGTGACAAGTTGACATGAAAACCAACCACCTCACACATCATCATAGGAATGTATTAAATAACAATAAAGCACAAGGGCCTGTGGCTTTCTAGGCACTGGTTTGCCTGGGGGTCCTGACTCCCTTCACAGCTGACCACAGCCTTTCATTCTGACCTTAGCTACTGATATCAATTCAGGTGATACATCACATGGAATGACTGCAGAGAGTCAAAAAGGGCACAACAGAGTTCAAAGGGTTAAAAGGGGCGACAGGAAGAAGCTGAAGGGAGGGTGGGGTGGCTGTCAGCTAAGGAGGAGCCCTGTTAGAGATGCTGCTATGGAGACAGGCCCTGGGGTCACAGGTTTGAGCCAGCGTCCGGGGCTGCAGAACTGCGCAGGACTGTGGAGGCCACCGAGGTAAAGGGCAGGACCTTGTCCAGATGATGGGTCCAGATGGATGAATGAGAGATGTGATTGACAGCCCATCCACAGGGGGACAGAGCAGAGCCTTGGAACAGTAGGGAGTTCTCTGCCTATGGGTCTCTTGACATCATACCAAGGGGTCAGCTGGCAGGTTGCCAACTTATACTGGTTCATTTTTATTGTCAATTGACACAACCTAGAGCCACCTGGGAAGAGGGGGCCTCAGCTGAAGAACTGCCCAGATCGGATTGGTCTGTGGCCACGTCTGTAAGAAATGGTTCTGATTGATGTGGGAGCTTGGAGTGTGCAGTGTGGCCACCGTGAGTGGCACCATCCCTATGCAGATGGGTCTAAGCTATACAAGAAAGCTAGCCGAACATAAATCAGTGATGGAGACGGTAAGCAGCAGTCCTCCCAGACATCTGCTTCAGTTCCTGCCCTGACATCCTTCACTGATGGATTATGGCCCAGAAGTTAAGTCCAACAAACCCTGTTCTACCCATGTTGTTTTTGGTGTCCGAGTGTGTTGTCACGGTAACAGGAAAGCAAGCTAGACTGTCGCTGCAGCACGAGGTGGCCGGTGTCCTCCTCATGAGGTCAGGTAGCAGGGTCACATCCTTTTCTCAATTTGGTATGTTCAATACACTTTGGGGCCTGGTTTTCTTTATTTTATTTCAGTTTTATTATTGGGGGGAGGGGGGGTTCATGCTTGCACCAAGGCACACATGCGGAGATCAGAGGACAACTTTTAGGAGTCAGTTCCTTTTGCCTTTAGAGGCAGCCTCTCCCTTGTATTTCTGCCACACTGCACACTCCAAGCTAGCTGGCCCTGGTGCTTCAAGGATATCTTCCTTGTAGTAAGTCTTTCTCTGTCCCGCCAGCCAGCTCCCAAATAATGACATAGAGACTTCTTAATAATTATGAAAGCTTGGCCGATAGCTTAGGCTTGTTTCTAACTAGCTCTTATAACTTAAATTAACCCATTTCTATTCATTTATGTGCAGCCACATGGCTCATGGCTTGTTACCTCATCTCCTACATGCTATACTTCCTCAGTGTCTGGCTGGCAACGCTGCCTTCTTCTTCCCAGTGTTCTCTCTGCCCCCCAAATCCTGCCCAGCTATTGGCTGTTTAGCTTTTCATTAAACCAATCACAGTGACACTTCTTCACACAGTGTAAAGGAATATTCCACAACACGTCTGTAACCCCAGACCTCAGGAGACAGGCATGAAGGTTAGCACCAGCTCAAGACCGACCTGTTCTATGCAGCAAGTAGATCAGCAAGGGCTTATAGCAAGTTATTTTCTCAACAAAACAAAAGTAAACAGGGTTTCTCTATGTAGCTTGGCTGTTTTGGACTTGCTCTGTAGACCAGGCTAGCCTCAAGCTGAGAATTTGTCTGCCTCTGCCTCCCAAGTGCTGGGATTAAAGGTGGGTACCACTACTTCTGACTTATACCAGAGCCAAAAGAAGGAGGGGGCAGTCCTCTGGACCAAGTGGTTGGCAGATACATGCCAAGGCGGAATATCCCCTGTGCCCAGCATTGTGCCACACACCTGTAATGACAGCACTTGAAAAATGGAGGCAGGAGGATGAGGAGTTTGAGGTCATCCTTGACTACATATGCAGTTCAAGGCAAAGCTAGGCTACCTGAGACCCAGACTTGAAAAGAAGAGGTGAGGTTGGGGAGGGCTGCACCTGCTGCTCTTGCAGAGACCTGCAGTCCCCAGTCCCCAGCACCCATACATGTTCCACATTTCAGTTCCTAGGGATCTGATGTCCTCTTCTGACCTACATGAACACCAAGCATGCACATGGTCCACATACATGCATGCAGACACTCATACGCATAAAATAAAAACCAATCTTTTTGTTTTTAAGAGATTGAGTACTTTTAGATAACTGACTTCTTGTTGGTCTGCTGGGACTCTTGATATCAGGAGGTTCATCCTTTCTCTCCTAGTGCCTTATCTGCTCTGTCTTTGCAAACACGCAGTGCCCCTGGGTCTGAACCCCCGCAAGCCTCAGGGTCCGAAAGAGGAAGTTACACTTCTCTTCCACCTGTCCAGCCTGGCTCGGGGGGGGGGGGGGGCTCTCTAGCAGGTCATCTATTTTTCCTTTATACTTTGGAAGACGGCTCAGGAAACCTTCTCAGCCCAGGCCTTGAGCCCCGAGCCCTTTGGAAAAAGCGATGAACTAGAAAAACCAGAAAGGCTTGTGTTGCAACAGCCCAGGCATGACAAAGGTCACCTGTGATTATATCCTTCAGCCAGGCAATATTTTAGGAGCCACAGGGTCAGCATAGACCTAGACCTCAGGCGGTTTATTCCTTGGGGCATCTAAGCCACTGACTTGTGCAGAAGATGAATAATTGGCATACAGGGGTATTGGGGCATGCATCTGCAGTATCCACACCTGGGGGTGGGGGCTGGGGCCAGAGGTCGAGGTACCCAGTGAGTTCCAGGCCACCGGAGATATGAAGGGAGACCTGGCTCAAAGCCAAAGAAGGCCTGGTATAATGAATGGCCCACGAGAGTGTGAATGCAGACACACTTGAGCCACAGTGTGTGTGGTCAGAAGACAGTGTCTGGGAGTCAGTTCTCTCCTTCCACTGTGGGTTTTAGGGGTTGAAGCCAAGGCATCTGCTTCGTATGGTAAGTGCTTTTGCTCCCTGAGCTGTCCGGCTGGCCCAATGTGTGTGCCGCACTGTGAGGGAGTGTACCCGCATCGAGTGAGGTGGTCCAGGCCTGGTGAGGGGCCGCCTGGGAACCGCGTTTTCTGGGCTGCAGCCTGACTGTTGTATTTGGCGCGCTCCCGGCCCCGCTGTCAGGGAGAAGAACAATGACCGCTTCACCAGAACAAGGCTGCTAGGAAACAGGAGAAACGCAGTGCTTCCAAAGAAAATGCTAACTCTGCCACAGCCGGAAGGAGGAGCAGTGGACCAGATATCCGCTCCCAGTTGAGCTGAGGCCTTGCTCCCCACCCGTGTCTTCCTTCTTCTGCTTTTTTTTCCTTTGGTTGTTTTTCTGGGGTTTGGTTTGGTTTGGTTTATTGAGACAGGGTTTCCAGTGTAGCCCTGGCTGTCCTGGAACTCTTTCTGTAGACCAGGCTGGCCTCAAACTCATAGAGATCCGCCTGTCTCTCTATCTGCCCAGTGTTGGGGTTAAAGGCGTGCACCACTACTGCCCAGCCCACCTTGTCTTTTGATGCAAGGTTTCTTGCTACACTTGGCATCCTCCTGTCCCCACCTCCTCAAGCACCGGGATGGCAGGCATGCCCTTTCATCATGCCTGGCTCTTACGTGGGTGCTGGGCACCCCCCTCTCTACCCATTGAACTTCATGTTCTTTCACTCTCAAAAACAAAACAAAACAAAACAACCATGCTGTGGGATATTTCTTTACACAAAGACGTGTCACTGTAATTGGCTTAGTAAAAAGCTGAACGGCCAATAGCTAGGCCGGAGAGGATAGCTGGGACTTCCAGGCAGAGCCAGGAACTCAGGGGGTTGAATCTAGGTGTGCTAGGAGATGCCAGTGAGACACGGGGCAAGTTGGATGTACAGACACGGGGCAAGTTGGATGTACAGAATAGAGGAGAGGCAAAAAGCCACATGTCAGAATGTAGATTGATAGAAGCAGGTTCATTTAAGTTATAAGAGCTAGTTGGGAACAAGCCTAAGCTAAGGCCACGCTTTTGTAATTAATAAACAGTCTCTATGTCATTATTTAGGGGCTGATGGTCCAGAGAAAGTCTGATGACAAGAAAGTCCAACTATACAACCACAAAAGAAAGAAAACAAAAACTACCAAACCATAACAATAAGAAAAAGCACACAAAAACTGAATCTTCAGGGTGGTGGTGCATGCCTTTAATCTCAGCATTCAGGAGGCAGAGGCAGGTAGATCTCTGTGAGTTTGAGGCCATCCTGGTCTACAGAGCAAGTTCCAAAACAGCCAGAGCGACACACACACACACACACACACACACACACACACACACACACACACACGTCTGTTCTGTGTTGGCCGATTACTCCTGGTGTGGAGTCTGGCCTGGGATGTGGCAGATGTACCCAGTGACACTCTTCTGGAGAAAGCTGATTTTCACCTTCCTAGCCATTGTTAATTACAGCTAGCTTCTTAGTTAAAGGAGGGACTCTGTGTCCACTTCCCTCTCTCAGTGCGGGGATTCTGTCTGGCTTGAACCTGTGCGGGTCTTGTGCATGCAGCCAGTCTCTGTGAGTCTGTATGTGCATCAATCCTGTTGTGGCTGGGAGACACTGTTTCCTTGCAGTCATTCTCCACCTCTGGCCCTTGCAGTCTTCCTATCCTCCTCCACACAGATCCCTAAGCCTTGTGGGAGCGGTTGGATGAAGACACTCCACATAGTGCCAAGTGCTCCAAAGTCCCCCACTGTCTGCGCGCTGTCCGGTTGTGGGTCTCTGTGTTAATTCCCAGCGACTGAAAGAAGCAGCCTCTGATGTGGGCTGAGCAAAGCAGCGATGTGGTTCCCAGCTAAGCGCAGCAGCTGTGTGTCAGTATGGAGTCAGGAAAGAATGTAGGTGTACTGGGAGTCGTGGCTGAGGGGCAGGGAGAAAGAACTAGTGCTTAAGGGGTTTCTTGAGACAGGGTCTCACACTATGGCCCAGGGTGACCTGGAACTCACAGCAATCTTCCTGCCTCATCTTCCTCAGTGGCGGGGTTACAAGCATGGCTCATCTATCTGGAGATTAGCATGTCTTTGAGAGAACATGAATCAAAATCCAGTTTTATAGAAAGCAAAGCCTCCAGAATGTGTCTGCAATCTGTGTCCATTGCAATGACATGCACAACAGCCCAGGCTGAAAGCCACCCAAGCACCCACCAGCCCATGAGTGGAAACAGATGCTAAGTGCCTATAGATGGGTCACTATTCAGTTTAACAAAAAATAAAGGCTCTGGGGAGATAGGTAAAGTCCTTACCATGAAAGCCTGAAGACCTGAGTTTGGATGCCCAGTATCCACATGAAGACCTGGCAGGCTTGGCTGTCTACCAGTTCTTTGTATTCAGGAGGCACACGGGTGTTCCCAGGGGAAGCTGGTAACTAAACTAGCGGGAATCAACAAGTTCTGGGTTCAGTGAGAGACTGCCTCTGGAAAGAAAATGGAGCAGGGTGCTGCTGCTGCTGCTGCTGCTGCTGCACACCTTTAATCCCAGCACTAGAAAGGCAGCAGATCTCTGCATTTGAGGCCTGTCTGGTCTACACAGTGAGTTCCAGGACAGCCAGGGCTACACAGAGAAACCCTGTCTCAAAAACCAAAAAATAAAAAGACACTTGAGGTCTGCTTAGAACCTCCACATGCACACACCTACACTTGTGCCCACACACCTACAGATGTGTGCACACACAGCCACCACACACATACACATATTTTAAAAAAGGAAATAAACAAATTTGTTGCTCATAGTTGCATATACCTGTAATTCCAGCACTCAGCGGGGGCTTGGTGATAGTGAGTTCAAGGCCAGTCTGAGCTACATAGTTACACCAGGTCCTGAAAAACCAAACTAGCTTGATGGCAGTCACCTTTCACCTTACAATAAAAAAGACGTATTCATTTTGTATATGGGTGGTTTCTGCCTGCGTGTGTGTCTGTGCACCATGTGTGCACTTGGTGCTTTGGAGACCAGAGGAGGGCGTGAGAGCCCTTGGAACTGCAGTTTTAGATGCTTGTGACCCATCAAGTGGGTGCTGGGAATCCAACCTGGGTCCTCTAGAAGAGCAACAGATGCTCTTAACCACGGAGCCATCTCTCCAGCCTCCCTTAACTCTAGCACTTGGGAGGCAGAAGCAGGCAGAGCTCTGAGTTTTAGGCCAGGCAAGGCTGCACAGTGAGACTCTGACTCAAAAACACAAACAGGGACTAGGGATGCAGCTCAGTGGTTGGTAGAGTTGTTGCCTGGCTTGTGAAAGGTACTGGCTTCAGTCCACAACACTACACACACAACACTACACAAACACACACACATACACACAACACTACACAAACACCACACACACACACACACACACACACACACACACACACACTAAATAAAAAGGAAGGTAATTCCAACATGTACCACACTGTTGTTACGTGGGCAAGCCTTGAAAGCAGTATGCCATGTGAAGTAAGCTGGGGGCTAGCAGCTGTGACCTTGACTTTGTCTGATGCCCCAAGTGGTGAAATCCATAAGGTTGGAGCAGTGGAGTGGTGGCCAGATGGCTCTGGATGAAGAGTAGGTAGCTATTAATTGCTAGATACAGTGTCCATTTTCTGAGATGCAGAATTCCAGAGGTGGGTGGAGGTGATGGCTGACAACACCTTGAAAGGTCTTTTTTTTGGGGGGGGGGCATTTCAAGACAGGATTTCTTCATGTAGCCCTGGCTTTCCTGGAACTCGATCTATAGACCAGGCTGGCCTCGAAATCACAGAAATCCACCTGCGCCTGCCTCCTAAATGCTGGGATTAAAGGCACGTGTCACCACCTCCCAGCACCATGAATGTTCTTAATGTCCCTGAACTGTGACTGAAAAAAAATTATTAAAACAGTAAATAATGTGTTATGCATATCTATCCATGTTGTTTGAATCTTAGACGGTCTTTTAATAAAAAACCCAGTGCCAGATAATCAGGGGGAAAGCTGAAAGATCAGGGAAGCAGAGCAAGCCACAGCCACCACCTCTTACCTCACCAACTCCATGAATCCTCTGAGTCTTCACCCGAAAGGGTCTCAGCTGAACTGCTTTAGTTCCTGTTTCCTCACGTCTTATATACCTTTCTCCCCCTGTCATCGATTTCTGGGATTAAAGGTGCGTGTGCTTCCCAGTACTGGGATTAAAGGTGTGTGTCACCACTGCCTGGTTCTGTTTCCAGTGTGGCCTTGAACTCACAGAGATCCAGATGGATCTCTGCCTCCCAAGTGATAGGATTAAGAGTGTGTGCCACCACTGTCTGGTCTCTATGTCTAATTTAGTGACTGGCTCTATCCTCTGATCCTCAGGCAAGCTTTATTATGGTACTCAATATATTACCACATATCCACAATATAAAAACTCAATTTTAGGGGTGGGAGGGGGGAGAACAAGGGAATCCATGGCTGATATGTAGAACTGAATTGTATTGTAAAAGAAAAGAAAAAAACTCAATTTTAAGCATATTTTCATTAAATTTGACAAAATTAAATTCTGATAATAGCAAGTATTGGGGCTGGGGACACATAGCTCAGTTGGTTAAATTCATGTTTAGCACACACAATGCCCGAGTTAGATGTCCAGAACTGTATAAACCATCTGTAATCTTAACACTGGGGAGGTAGAGGCAGGAAAGTCAGATGTTCAAGGTTACCAATGGCTACATAAAAAATTTAAGGCCAGCCTGGGCTACAGAAGACCCAGTTTGTTTTCCTTTTTGCGGGCTGGATAGGAAAGTTATTAGTGAACTATGATTGGTGGAGTGTGGGACTGAGTGGAAACCCACAGGAGAGCAGGGCCTGCTGTTTGTGGAGGAGTCCTCAGCTAGGGATATATTTGCCCCCACAGCCATCAAGGATGAGCTGCTTCCCAGGCACCATGTCCAGAAGTCCATCTGCACTAAACTAGGTGAATCCCCTCTACTTTGAGATGTGGATCTTCTGGTGATCATGGAATTTGAACCGGGCAATACACAGGGCCTCAATCATGTGTTCCACATTCTGCACCTTGGTCAGATGACCCGACCATTGTGTCCTGGGGCTTCCCAAAAGCACCTCACATACCTGCCTGCAGCATTGGTTGAGGACACAATTGAGATCAGAAACATGAGTATCCACTAGAAACTGTCTCCAAGATGAGGAACTCCGACTCTTAAAGACAGAGTGGAGGAGGGGCTGGAGAGACGGCTCATCTATTAAGAGCACTTACTACTTTCACAGAGAGATGGTCTGGATTCGGTTCTCAGCACCCACATGGTGGCTCACAAACATTCTAGAGAATCTAATACTTGGCTCTGACCTCCCCAGGCATGCACATACATACATGCAAGCAAACCATTCATACATACAGAATAAAATAAATATAAAAAACATTGAAAAGAGATTATAAAGAAAAAGAGTGTAACACCACATGTTACAAGGTTGAAGCATTGGAAGTCCTATTTTTAAACTGTGTGTCGTATGTATGTGTGAGCGGAGATGCACACTCGGCACTGTGTGGATGTGGAGGTCTTAGGACAACTCTTGGGAGTCAGCTCTCTCCTTCTACCAGGCCTTCAGGGACTGGACTCAGATCATCAAGCTTGCCCAGGATGCATGTTTACTACCTCCTCCCCACCCAGCCCTCTCGTCGGCCCTGCAGTAAGAACTCTTGCCCATAGCTAGCAGGATGCTTGTCACAATTCAGAGAGACTATCCAGTCTGAAGAGCAATTTGACTCTGGCAAACAAAGCCAAGGCAGCACACTAATTCAACAAGTTTAGCTACCCAGATGCTAACCTGTTTCCCAGGAGCTGGGATTACAGGTGACTGCCATGCCTATCTGGCATTCACGTTTGGCATTAGGGTTTTGAATTCTGGTCCTAATGCTTGTGCAACAAGTGTTTTGCTCTCTGAGCCAAACAGAGCCAGTGCTCTCTCTCACTCTTCCCCACCCTTCTGTGTGTGTGTGTGTGTGTGTGTGTGTGTGTGTGTGTTTGTGTGTGTGTGTGCCTGTTCGCATACATGGGTGTT